AAAACAACCAGCAAAAGTTAATCGAATCAACAGACTGACAGGCAGTAATGAGCACTTGAGTACAAAACCAAACTAATAAATTTACCAAACTGGTAAAACTATTGTCAGAGTTGCAAAAGTGAAAGTAATCAAAACAGGCCAACATTATAAGCAGAATAACAGAATTTTAATTTCAGAACTCGAAACATTAACTTATCTTATCTTATCTACAATACATTTGTTAGTTTACTGGGATGGAAGGTATAGAGGGGGGAGTAAGTGCTTTAAACACACTAGGACTCCAACTATTTTATAGAGTAAAGAGGGAAATGAATACACATGGCCGGGATTACTCACGTGGACAGCAGGCTAAGCCTCGATTTATATTCGGCTGGCCGGGATTGCTCACGCAGTCCACAGGCTGTTTCGATACACACATGCACAGCCGGGATTGCTCACGTAGTCGATAGGCTAGGCCCTGATTCGCACAAGCACGGCCGGTATTGCTCACGCGATCGACAGTCTAAGCCTCGCTTCACACATTTATGACACGCTAGGTTAAGGGAAGAGGTTACATTCGAACACTTGTTAGCTTCGGGGCTCGTTATAAGAATCAATTAGGAATAAAAGAGTTTAATGACTTTCTCTACTAACGTCATTTTTATTTACATCCACTTCCCTAAGTTAAGGCCCTGCCGCACTGTTCGGAGCCCTAGCACACGCTAAGTCTCCCTTTTCTCGCTTCTCGCTGACACAAGTACTCACCTTGATGCTCGATCGTAAAGTGCGCTTGCCTCGGTCGCTCAACTTCGCCGCGATCTTTCGCAACTTCGCCTCGGAGATTTTGCTCTTCGCCGCCGAATCAAAGCTGCGGTGTCGCAGGCGGTGTTGAGCAACCTATCAGCAACGAACGGTTGCTGCGGCGGCCGGAGGTTAAATTCAAACATGCCTCGAACTGGGCCCCGTGCCCTTAACAAACTCTAATAATTCTACGAATTGTAAGGTTAACGGCTTCTTGCTTTTACTCTCTTATTCTAATAATAATTCTAACAAGACTCTACTGTAATACTGAAGGCTCCTTGCCTCTTTTGGCTACAAGTAACCGATTGTACTGTAACTTACTCAATGGAAGTGGTATATGTCAATGTCAATGACAACCCGAATAACACAACTGTGATATTTTCTGTACAGCCTGTCTAAGAACTATCAACGAAATTGCACAGACTCGTCAGTTTCTGGTCGCAAAGCTAGACTCGCGCGTAATCTAGTCAGGATTGTTAGTAGCAATCAGTGTCTGTCTTCAGCTTCAGCAGCTTCTATATTGACTGTTGTAGTCCCTCGCAAACAAATGCCTGAGTCCCGGTTTCTTCTAAAATTACTCAGGATTTAGTGGCTAGCAATATTCTAGCAAATATTCTGCTAGCGTTTCTATGTCCTATTTTAATTTCTCCACTCGTAAAATATCATCATAAAGAGTTAATATTTTTCATGATTCATTTCCAATCACCTGTGCTCCTTTATTTTGGTATCCTTACATGACTTTTCACGAGCTTAAGCCTAACATGTAAGAGGTTCGAGTCGGTTCTAATTCCAACACCAAATGCAAATATATAAACTATTCTAGAAGCTACGTGTCAAGGTGACTCTAGCTCTTGTTATTTAAAAAACAGCCCAAAAAACAGGATTTCGATATAGATTCTTATCGATTACTTGGAAACGAAGTAAGTTATCGATTATCGGAAACAAACTCGATCTGCGCAGGCACTAGGAGGACCTACATCTTTCAAGTCTCTAGCTCTTATGGGTTCTGATATCCTTGCGATCATACATACGGACAGACGAAGAGATGGACAGACGGACGGACAGATGCTGATCAAGAATATATATACTTTATGGGGTCGGAGATGCTTCCTTCTGCCTGTTACATACATTTACATTTCGCACAAATACAATATACCCTTTTTATCCATTTTCAATGGGTTCAGAGTATAAAAAGCGAAACCAGCCTTATCCTGTCACCCTTCAGTTCTCTTTTATACAAAGCCCTTGAAATAATGTCACAATTTCTAAGCTTAAAAAGCCTTTTTGATTCGAATATAATCTTATTTCAGAAACATAGTTTAATTCAACCATGTCAGATGGTGAAGTTTGTTCGATCAATTTTATTGCCCATTATCGAATAGATGGGTGGGGTATTATTCTTCCGTCAGATACGTTCTGATTTACTGTGACTACTGATGTTTAGATTGTTTCAGTTAAAGGTACTTTCCCATCACGTGCTATTCATAACATGCTCCTATTGCACCTACTTATGTTACTTTTGCTATTCAAGTTTACATGAAAGATACTTGTTTCAAAGAAGCTGGTACACATGCGCGAGAAAATGGTCTATTTATTGTGGTGGGTAATCACCCACATTTTCCACATTTTAAATCAAATTACCGAAAATCTGTTGGTCATTAATCACTGCCGAAAATTATATTGTACTTTTAGCAAACTATGCTTTATAAATTGCAGGTAAAAGCTATTTTTGTTGCAAATCAGTTCACTTTCTAATCATATGAATAGAGCATTTGACCGTGCATTTGTCGATGATTACAATATTGGTAATGGAGACCTTCTCTATATGAGTCGGAGGATGCATATCATGTCAATTTAAAGGTTGCCATGTTTAATTAACTATCCTCCCAGTTCATATTTTTCGGGAAGCAACAGGCCCCGCCATACTTGCGTCAAGGAATATATATCTTGCTTAATCAACGTATTCATGCAACAGACAGGTCATTTTTTATGATTCGGCTAATATTAATATTGCTCTGAATTTTTTTAAAACATCCTAAATTCTCCTTAAGATAATTGTTTTGTAAATATTCTTATTCCTTGCAAAAGCTAATTTGCTCAAAAACCGAGACAGTTTTATAATTTTGTAAACTTGGAGCCGGGATGGATCTTAGCTAATTTTTTTCCAATCCACTTACACCTCTGTGTCACCCTCATAGCATTACTTCCTACATTCGTCCCTCCTTTAAGCCATTAATTCTTTAAAATCGTCTTACGCTTCTGGGCCAGACAATATTCTTAGTTAGCTACTCAAGTGTGTAGTTCTTCCTTTCTTCGTCTATTGGTAAGGGTTCTATCGCTTGAATCTTCTGTCTTTCTATCTCTTTGGAAAGAATCTTATATCATTCCTGTTCCATTTAAACCTACCAGAAATTATCGCCCCTTTTCCTACCCCTAATAAAATCGTTGTTTTCAGGATAGCTTGCATAACTTGCCGGACAGGCTACACATTTTTCCCTACCGTGTCGGTGATTTCCCTTTACTGTCCCTCTATCCTATCTACCATTCTATATATCTTGTTTAAATTTCTTTACTTTATTAATAACTTAATTCTTTCTTTTTCCTAATCTATTGTAATTTCTAAATGGGTGGACAGACGGACGGACGGACGGACAGACAAACGGACATGGCTGGATCGACTCGGCTATTGATGTTACATACATTTGCACAGGGTATAAAAAGAAGGGTGGAAAGTTTGATATACAAAATTACAGAGGCACTGCAAAGCTATTGCTAAATTACTTAAAAAATTAATCACTTCGAATTTGCAGCATTTCTGCAAATCAGTTATTTAACCTGTTCAACATGGATTCGTAAAGAATCGGTCAACTACGACTAACCTCGTTAAATTTACTTCCTTGGTTAATGATGTTTTAACTTCTAAAATGTAATCTGATGTCATTTACAGACTTCAGTCACGCGTAGGACTCTGTGCATTATGATTTTTTACTCCTTAAACTTGACCGTTTAGGTTTCCTTCCATCACTTTTGCTTTGGATTTGTTTTTATTTAAAAGGTGGACACAAAGAGTTATGCTAAGACTGAATACCTCAAAACAGTTTCACGTTACTTCTGGTGTTTCTCAAGGTAGACATCTTGTACCTTTGCTCTTTTTATAAACGATCTTTCCCCTGATTCTTTTCATATAAATGACCAGAAGTATTCATGGATTAATTAAGCGTTGATCTAAGAAGATCCTTTTATAACTAAACTTCTGCACATCTCGCTTGTACCTATCATTAAATACTGTTTATGTATCTGGGTCTCCGCAGTATAATTAGTATATAGTATATTTATCGCATTGAATTATTTCAGAAGCAATCGCTTCTTTTGCCTCCCAATCTTCGGTTGAGAGCGTACTCCAGCAGACTTTTTTCTTGATCTTTCGTCGTTAAAAAACTTATTTTCAAGGCACAATATAAAAATTAATTAATTAATACGTGTTTCAGCGATTTACAAAAAATGTTGACCTTCTTAAAGATCTTTGTCATAATTTATTTGATACTTTTTCACAAAGTTTACTGCCCTTGGAAGTAATATGTGGGCTTAAGGTTTAATAAGCGAAAGCTTATTTTTGGGCTTCAAGATTCTCACCACAAGACTTACATGGGCGGAAACCGTTGATTCCAACATTTGATTCTTTATTTACCCTTTAATAATTTTTTTTATGGAAGTGATTCCAAATTTGATTTTTCCATCCATGAACTTGAAACATATTTTTAATTTTGCATGGGCGTGTATTTCGGGGGAAGGTTATATCTAAAATTTGTAGCGCAAAAAGTTCCACGAGCAAAGCCGGGAATTACTATTTTTATTATTATTATTTTTATTGTTATTATTTTTATTGTTATTATTATTATTATTAGTGTTATTATTATTATTATTATTATTATTATTATTATTATTATTTTTATTGTTATTATTATTATTATTATTATTATTATTATTATTATTATTATTATTAAATTATTAGCACAGGGCAAACGATAATATAAAGTCAACATTTATTCAAGACTAAAAATCAATGCAAGAAAGTTAGTTGAAGTACTAGTTACATCTTCTTACAATTATATTGATGTCAACTAAATAATTAAACTTTTACTTTAACAACATTATGTAAATATTACGTTTGTATACTTATAATTCAATAACAAAATATTCGTATGCTTCTTTATTTTTAGCTTTAAGAATCAAAAGGAAATTCTGGAAAGCAGTGATAGAATTCAAATTATTAGAGATAAGGATTATTTGGGATTCTACGAATTGGTCATTGCAGATGTTCAGAAGGATGATGCTGGAATATACTCCTGCAAGGCAACCAACAAGTTTGGTGAAGCCTCGTGTGAAGCTCAAGCAACTACAGTGGGTAAGTAATACATAAAAAAACGCAAAACAATATTGTTTTTGTTTGAATGTTTCAAGATATATCATATCATTTCAAGGGGCAGTAGAGTATTTTATGACCTTCCAGTTGTTCCACCTCACTGCTCCCAATTTTATGTTGTTTGTTGTCCGGTTCTCATGAAGTTTTGAATTTATACACATTAGGTGTCTTATAGATTTTGCTTAATCTCTATATATAAAACTGTTTGTCCTGACTGACTGATTGGTGATCAACGCACAGCCCAAACCGTAAGAGCTAGGAAGCTGAAATTCTCTCTGTAGTTAAATTATGTGATAAAGGTGCACGATAAGACGGGGTTTCGGGAAATTCCACCCGCAAGTATGGAAAAATCGCGAGAAACGTTTGTATGAAACTTTTTTGCTTACCATCCGATCGGCCTCAAACTTAATTTAAAAAACTTTGTTCAAATTCATTTGAGGGGTGTTTCACATTTTTCGCAAAATCTAAACGCCTTCGGTAAAAATGCGATTCAAAGATTTTTTGGGCAAAGTTTTAAGTGGTGTCCGATTTGCTTCAAACTTATTTTCCAATCTCTATATAAGAACTTAATGATACGTGTTTCAGCGATTTGGGAAATACCACCCTTAACAGTGGTTGGTTCTTAATTCGATGCACTAAAAACATATTTTTAAATAGAATTGGAGATCAAGATGTGTAGATTTCATTTTCCCACGGGCGTGTACTTAGTTGAAAGGTAATATCTTTTTTTCCGGCCAAACCTGCTAGTATATAATAAATATACTTGTTTACCAATCTCTTGTTTGATCTTAAAAGGATTTCATCTCCTACTTGAAAATTTCTATTTATCTTACTTCATTTATCTTGTGCATTTGGGTATTCTGTGATATAAGAACTTCACTTTTTCATACAGTGCCGAGCTCTGCGAGAAATGATGGATTAACTGGATGGATTGTCCTGTTAGACTGTGTCTTTGATATTTCTTTCGGCTTTCTGTTTATTTTTGTTTAAAATATCGGTTAATATGCGTTTTGTCAGTCAAAATTTTGTCGTGGGGTATGTTTCTACTTAATTATGCTAAAAAAAGATGGTAATACTGGAAGATCAAAGAATTTGGCGCTTATCACATTTGATTCTTGACCTTTTTGACAACGTCGACAAATATTATCAATTTGGTCCAAGGCAGCTCTACCTTCCATTAGTTTTTGGGTTTGAAGCAGTTGACCGGGGTTTCTGTTGATTCGACTGTGTATGTGAATGATAACTCTTTAGACATCGAAGCAGTACCGGATGGAACATGTCATAAAGCGCGAATGTTTAATCGTAACAATGCCTCAGCGAAGACAATTTCTTTTCTTGGTCTGTAATATATTTGAGCATTATGCTCTTTCAACGCTTAATTTTTGCAATAGAAATGCGATTAGAGACGGCCGATGTTAGGGACTGATGATCTGTAAAGATATTTAAATTCTACACTTTGTATAGTTAATTTGAGAAGTACGTCAGGGTCCACACTATATCGCGACACACTTTCCTTTTTTCCGAAAAATATAATACTGCTCCTAAGCAAAAGGAGGTAGTATATATTGTTAAATAAAACGGTATATTTTAGTCGTTAAGTCATTTTTTGCTGTTTTCAAAATATCACTTAAAGGTTTTCCTATTGATACGTCTTCTTTAATAAAGCATTGCCAATCCAAGCAATGTCCGGACGTTGAACAGTGTGGTCGGTTTGTTTATAGTTACGAATAGCTTCTACCTTGTCAGGGCATGTAGTATTGCCCCCGCGTGGTACCACAAAATTCGACACTATCTTTGAAAAAATTGGATAGTTAGCTTCGTACAACTTATCGAAGACGATTTGGTTCTTCGTATTTCCCAGTAACCTTTTATAAAATGTGCTATTTTTGCTATTTTACTATGTAGGACTTGACTTGACTTGACCTGACTTCACGTCCAATGTGAAGGGCATTGCCTTCCCCAAATTTTTCAGAATTCAGGTTAAGTTTATTTTCCTGAAATTCATACATTTCATTTTTGCTAAACGCATTTTTGTATAATAATGTTTATCGATTCCTTATTTGTCAACTACCCAGAGGGGGTTGTTGTACGGTGACCTTCAGAATAAATGGGTTTCCCATTTTCGGTTCTGATGGTGCCAAAAGGTTCGGTTTCTCAACATTTCTGAAATTTTAATGTGATTGGCTGGAAAACTTTAATATAAGTTTGATTTCTTCTTCTTAAATTTTGGGTTTTGAAGTCTTGTTGTATGTTTGTTTGGCTTAGGTCACACGACCCAGCTACCGGAACAACCTTGTGGTCTAATTACACACGCAATTCTGCGATGCGTACATCCACAAGAGTTTGTAAATGCGTTTCTGTCAAAACAGACGCAAGAGAAACGGAAACTGTCATTGTGACGCCAGAGAAAGAACAGAATTGCCAAAGTTACGCAGTAAAACTTTTGAATGGGTTATATATATATATATATACCCATTCAAAAGTTCACAGTTCAAAACAAAAACCATTTGGGAAATACAGACATTATTTGCCTATTTGAAATCGATTCGCTACATCAAAACTGTAGGGTTAATACGTCAATTTTCAATACCAGAGGTGGCACTTAAAATTGCATGCATTTCCGATCGAACGGTATAATGGACCAATTCATTATGTTCATTATAAGTCTAATACAAGGCAACAGAGGGAGCAATCGAGATTTTTCTAGAATTAGATGCATTTGAGCAGAATAGAAGCGCCTGTTGGCTAGTTGTTTTGCTTGTTACTAAAAAAATTGAAAAAAAATTGATCGCAAGTCACGATGCAAGTTAATGGACACAAGCCAACAAATGAGCCCTTCTGTTATTTCCTTGAAGCATGACGGGAGGAATTTTACCAGTGCCAGCGCATTATCCGAAAGAGTTATGAAATTCAACCCCACCTCAGTCAAAACTGAACAGAGTCTTGTAACAAAATATATAATATGATTGCTCGCACTTTTAATTGAATTATCTGGGAGCACTTTCGTAAAAGGTAAATCTATGTATATTAATTACCTCGAGTCCGGTCCCATGTCAACGAAATGTAAATAAAGCAAGAAGTTCAAGTGAAGTAAATTCCACGCCAAATTTTCATCTGTCACGATAACGAAAAAATATGGCTTTTTGGACATGGATGGAGTAAATGCACTTCATACACAACCTGCCGTGTGTTATTGGATACACACGGATACATACATTGAAGATAACCTTATACCTTCAGGGCAAGATTACCCCAGCATTAGAAAAGAAAAACTCTCCACCTCCCCACTTACTTCGACGACGATACCGTCACTTCCTCGGCGGCGTGTTCGTCCAACGATATCGTAATAATATTCGTTAGCTTAGTTGTAAAAACCCTATCTTTACAGCGAGGCTAACATTCTATGACGCCTTCTCTATTATGGCCACTAGTGTTAATCTAATCTACATGTAGTACTAGTGCTATGATAGGCTATGGGTGTCGCTATCACTCTTGGTTTACTCGTGGGCCTCCAAGGGTCCTTGGAGAGAATCCTTCGTCATCAGTCATTTCCTGGTAGAAAGCTTTTAGCTGTGAGATATTGCCCATCCTCTTTTTTCGTTCGCGTGGCTTCACGAGACGCACAATGTTAGGCGACACAAACTTAGTAACCCGATGACCATCGAATTTGGGTGCAAATTTCGCGGCGAAGCCCTTAGCGGCATTGGACAGCTGGTGTTGCCGTAATAGGGCCATCGAGTCCAATAAAACTCACCACTCTCGTCTCCGCAGGTTGCAGTGTCTGCCTTGGTCCTTTGATACGCGCTGGAGACTGGTGTGCGCGATAAAAAAGATTTTACTCAATCTATCCGCCTTCGTCCGAGGATCGAACGAGGTAGCTGCGGACCCGGAGTCACCTGGTCGTACAGAGCGGTGGGCAGCCGCGCCTCCCTCGCCTGCATCAGAAAAGCGGGATTGAAACCTGTCTAGTCCGCCACACTTGTGTTGACCGCTATCGATATCACAGGCAAGAGTTCATCCCACGAGCTCTAATACTCCTCGATAAACTGCGCCATCATGGTCTTCACGGTTTTATTGGCCCTTTCAGTGGCATTCTCTTGCGGACAGTGCGGGCGGTGTACTGGACCTCTACGTCCAGGGTCTACAGAAAGGGCTTGAAACTACGACTCGCAAGCTGCACCCTGTTGTCGCACACAAGCTTCTTGGGCACCCCGAACATACTAAAAATTCTCTCCCGAAAAGATGTTTGCAAGTGCGCCGCCTTAGGCCTCCTGAGTGGGACCAGGTCCACCCACTTCGAGAAGGCATCATGGAACACCAGTAGCATCGTGTTGCCTTGTCTCGACCGGGGAAGGGGCCCGTCGAAGTCTGCGCAGAGTACTGCCCTCACGCATTGATGTCCGGCCGCGTGAGCAACGTGACACTCCTGCAATACTATTTGCCGTTGACTACTGGCCACACATAGCTTACAGGGAATATAGTCCAAGTCGTCCGTCCGGTTTCCTCACCACTGCCTGCTGATAAGCTTCTAGAGGATGTCAGGATAGTTCATCAGCCACGACGTTGAGCTTCTCCCCACTTACTCCTGTCCTCCTATAGCATGCGTCAGCATCGCGCCGAGGTCATTCTCACTCGGGTCAGTCTGCAAGACAAATTAGGCAGAAAAGTCCGGATAAGCCAAAATACGGGCTATCTTATGCTATCAAGCTATCCTTCAATTGATGCAATGCCTCCACCTGTCCCTCACCCCATTATTATATCCACTGCTTCTTAGGAGCGCCGTTAGCGGCTGTACCTGAGTCGCGAAGTTGGGAACGAAACGCCTGTACCATAAAGCCATCCCGAGACATTGCCTCAACTCCCTACAATTAGCCGCGGTCCTTAGGCTACTTATCCACCACCACCTTCTCTGGATCAGTACGTAGCCCTTCCCCGCAAATGACATGTACCAGATAGACTAGCTTCGTCCTGTAAAAGACGTAGTTCTTCCTGTTTTGCTTTTGGTTGGCCACCCTCAACCGGTGAAATACCTCCCTCGAATACTCTGTGAGCTGTTCTTTTGTCGCCCGTATTACCACGATATCGTCTACGTATGAAGCTCCATCTCCGGCCCTATTACCGTGTCCAATGCTCGCTGATAGGTTACACACGCTGAGTGCAGACCACGCGACATCACTTGACATTGGAAAAGGCCCCTCCCTGGGTCTGTGAATACCGTGCAATCCCTACTATCGGCTGCTATCGGTATCTGCATAGGCAGATCGTGCTTCAAATCTAGGGTAGAAATGAACTGAGGGTGACGCAACCGCTCAAGGATGTAATCAATCCGGGGGGCAGGATAAGTATCTGCAATGGATTGCGCATTGAGTCTTCTTCTTGATTGAGAGGGCGACGGCTCGATGGCACCTGCCTGGATCAACTTATCTAACTGCTCGTCGATCACCCTCTGCAATGGCTTTGCTTCAATGGCTTGTCATCTTTGAGCCGTATCTTGTGCTCCGTGATATGCGAGACCCCCTGCAGAACCTAGAAGAGTGCCAGCTCCAACTCCACGAACTCTGTTTTGTAGCACTTTTTTTCCTTGCCTCAGCCATGACCAGCGTAACTCCGCTGCTGTACTTCTACACGTCGCCTTTTGGGCTCCTTGTCCGCTCGGTCCGATCCCGAGTGACGCCCCTTTTCATTCCTTCGGTCGTTTCGTCTCCCTTTGGTTGCCGAGCCGGCGCTCCCTCACTCTGACATAGGAGGCCTTCATTCGGTACTTCCCTCTTTGTGCCGTCTTCATCCGGTTGTTGACGTCTAATCACAATGCCTTCCCTACTGCTAGCGTGGATCCACATGCCAGGCGAATGCACGGTTGCACGTCCTCCGCTCTTCCCTGAATCGCCCACTTACGTACGTAATTTTCACTTTTGAAGCTGCGAGTGTCGATTGTTGCTGGCATCGTTCGCCCGCAAATCTCCACTGTAGCGACGATTTGGCCACCGTCCGATCCTGGCATGAGCGACGCTCTTGCCCGTTAGCCGCCTCCGTGCAGCGACAACATTCCTGGCTACTCCTGTTTCGGTTCTCACATACTCAACGGAACACGACGCGTGCGTTTGGACACTCCCTAGCGAAGTGAACCTCCTGCCCGCACCTACGACATGCTCGCCGCGGATCGTACCCGGTTCCGGTCTCTTGGCTCATCATCTGATGGGCAACCTCATGGGCCACTGCGGGCAGGATGGGGTACTCTGCCCAACGCAACGGGTCGATGTGTCCCCCGTGGGCTTTATTGTCCTCCCCCATTCTGCCCGTCAATTGAAATAAGGTAAAGAAATCTTACCTTGTTCGGTGCAACTCCTTTGACGGCTCATATCTGGCGTGATGCAATAAAGCCCTCAGCTCTATCAAGTATTCTTTGAATTCCTCCTCCTCACGCTTCCGGCAGAACTGGACTATGTCCTCAAGCCTTTAAAAATAGCGCGGTGGCAGGAAGAGCTCCAAGAAACCGGTTCTTAAAACTGACGTTGAGATACCTAGCCAATACGATATCCTAATATGGGCGAGGAGCATAAGGAGCACCATACGGTTCAGCAGGGGCCCGATTTATCTCGGCGTGAATACCCGTTGATTGACGGACTCCATCCCTTCGGATGCAAGCTAGGGATCGGAATCTGTGACGCAGCTGTCCGCCAACGTCATGGTGGGAAGCTCCAGGATGGCAGCCCTAATGTTTTGGCATATTGAGACTCTATCTCGGCAAGCTGCGCACATATTTCAGGGGAATTACCGCCATTTAAAATGGGTAAAAAGGGTAAATTGTTTTTATGCAAATGAATGTAACAGGTAGAAGGAGCATCTCCGACCTCATAAAGTATATATATTCTTGCTCAGCATCAATAGCCAAGTCGATCTAGCCATGTCCGTTTGTCCGTCCGTCCGTCTGAATGAACGCAAGGATCGCAGAACCTCTAAGAGCTAGAAACGTTAAATTTGGTATGTAGGTTCTCCTTTTGCCAGCGCAGTACGAGATAGTTTCCAATAATCGAAAACTTACCGTTTTCAAGTCATCGATACAAATTTATATCGGAATCATTTTTTGCAATTGACTTTTTAAGAATACATAAATATTCTATAGCACAATAAAATGTACTGTAGAAAAGAAACACAAAAGTTATTGAAGAAGATGTGTTTTATGGCCTTGAGTTTGGGGCAGCACGCGCAAATTGCAAAACTTTCTGTAATCATGTACACACACACGTTCCTGGGCGCCTTCTTTGAAAATGCACTGCAATTGCGATGTTTGGTTGCGTGGTTTTTGAGTAGATGCGTTTGCTAATAGTTTGGTCTGTAACGAGTTTGAGACCTTATCAGGAAACAGTTTTGTTTTTATACCCTTGCAGAGGGTATTATAATTTTGTCGTGAAATGTGTAACGCATAGAAGGAGACATCTGCGACCCCATAAAGTATATATATTTTTGATCAGTATCAACAGCCGAGTCGATATAGCCATGTCCGTCTGTCCGTCTGTTTGTTTCTATGCGAACTAGTCCCTCAGTTTTGAAGAATGAATGAAAAAGCATTTTGTTTTTCAAGATATCTTGACCAAACTCGGCATTTATAAGTTTTATATATATATATATATATATGCAAAATCCTATTGAGATCGGACCACTATATCATATAGCTGCCATAGGAACGATCGGTCGAAAATTAAGTTGTTGTATGAAAAAAAATGTTGTTTATCAAGTTATCTTGACCAAACTCGGCATTTATTAGTTTTACTATGCTTCTCATATATATGAAAAATCCTATTAAGATCGGACAACTATATCATATAGCTGCCATAGGAACGATCAGTCGAAAATTAAGTTGTTGTATGGAAAAATTGTTTGGCATTCAAGATATTTTGATTAAGCACGGCATTTAAAGATTTCACTATGCTCCCTTCATTTTTGCAAAATCTTATTTACATCTGACTACTATATCATATATCTGCCATAGCAACGATCGGTCGAAAACTAGGTTTTTTATTAAAAACTTTTTTTTTTATCAAGATATCTTGACCAAACTCGGCATTAACTATTTTCCCTGCGCTTCTTAGATACGGGCAAAGCACTATAAGCATTATGACAAGGTTGGGTCTGCATCTTCGGCGTGCCGAAGATAGCCTTTCTTTCTCGCTTTATTTATTTTTATTATTGCTGAAGCAAACGAGCGCATAGCGAGAGTTTCATTTTGTGGTGAAAGATGAGGGTTCAGGGTATTCACTAGTCGGGAGCTCCCCACTAGAGCGTTCTACTTGTTTTTTGAATAATATTCTTACAAAATTTTATTTTCTTTTTAGAATATAAAAACCCATTTGGAGCTTTAAGTGGTCAAATTTTACAGTCTGGAGAAAAATCCATTTTTTCGTGGAAACGCAACGGACAAGATTTTGATCCAGAGGAACGATTTAAAGTTCTCTTTGGCGAAGATGAGGATTCTCTAGCTTTAGTATTTCAGCATGTCAAGCCTGAAGACGCTGGAATATATACGTGCGTTGCACAAACTTCAACTGGAAATATATCCTGCAGTGCAGAGCTATCTGTTCAGGGTGCCATTCAAACTTTAAATAGGGAACCGGAAAAGCCTTCCCTAGTAATTGAACATCGAGAAGCAAACACAAGTTTGGGAGCGTCTGCCATTCTCGAACTTCAATGCAAAGGTTTTCCCAAGCCAGCAGTGCTTTGGAAACATGAAGGTGAAATCATTGAAGTTGATGAAAGACATAAATTTATGTTTGAAGACGAAGAAAGCATGTCATTGGTTATAAAAAGTGTAAATACTGAGGATGCTGGAGAATATACTATTGAAGCTGTGAACGAGCTCGGACAGGATACAGCATCTATTAATTTAACCGTGAAAGGTAAATGTGTAATCACAAAATCGTTTTTATTATCATTATCATTATTATTAAGTAGAGAGATCGAAAGTGCCAGACTAGGAAGCATGGTATACGCACTGCCGAACTGCTTACAATAATGCAAAGTTATTTTCCATTCCATTCATCTTATTCTCTTCATAAGTATTACATAAGAAAATATGTATTTATCTAGACAGATATACTACAACAAATAGATATATAATGGACTCGGAGAGAATACCTTTTGCCTACCAAATACCATTGTACAAAACTATTATCCCTCTTTTTGCATTTTTTATGGATACTGACTGGACAAAGCAACATAAGAGTGCTCTAGTGTGAAATGACTAAAGGATTCCCAATTACTACCAACATCAATTGGCTTTTGCTCAATGCACTAGTTACCCAGAAATATAAATTAAAACAAGTAAGAGGTTCTAGTCGGGAGCTCCCGACTTGGGGATACCCTGGACCCTCTTCTGCCAACATCAAATGCATATATATATTCTATTTTAGAAGCTATATGTCAAGTTTGGTGACTCTAGCTCCTATTATTTACCAAAATTGCCCAAAAAACAGGATATCGCTATCTATTTTTATCGATTGCTTGCAAACGGAGTAAGCTATCGATTATCGGAAACAAACTCGATCTGCGCGGGAACTAGGAGCATCTACATCTAAAATTTCAAGTACGGACGGACGGACGGGTGGACAGACGGACATGGCTATATCGACTCGGCTGTTAATGCTGATCAAGAATATATATACTTTATGGGGTCGGAGATGTCTCCTTTTATGTATTACACATTTCACGACAAAATTATAATACCCTCTGCAAGGGTATAAAAAGGGACTAAAATAGCATTACAGAAAAAAGTCGCAATTACCATGCTGTTAGAATGCGATAGAATGCGAAGCAGAAGCGTATAAATGTGTGCGTTTCTACATGTAAACAGAAGTTCTTAAAGCTGCTGCCCCATCCAATTGCGCAGTTGCATATAACTTTGTTTTTTTCTACAGTATATCTTATTGTACCATAGAATATTTGTGTATTCTGAAAAAGTCAATTGCATGTAAATTGTAGCTTAAATTGGTTCGCAATACAAGTTGGGTTATAAACTTGATTTATAGCTCTGGGGTGAAGCGGGGAGGTTGGCGATAGGTATAAAATGAATGATACTGGACATATATAATATTCTAGAAGCAACATATCATGTTTGGTGACTCTAGCTCTTATTATTAACCCAATTTGCTCAAAAAACAGGATATAGATATCGATTTTTCTTGATTGCTTGAAAACGAAGTAAGTTATCGATTATCGGAAACAAACTCGACATGGCTAGATCGACTCGGCTATTGATGCTGATCAAGAATATACATACTCTATGGGGTCGGAGATGCTTCCTTCTACCTGTTACATACATTTGCATTTTGCACAAATACAATATACCCTTTTTACCCATTTTCAATGGGTTCAGGATTTAAAACATACATATTGAGATCCATTGCTCGAAAAAATTTTTTAAAATAAAAACAAGAGGTTCTAGTCGGGAGCTCCCGACTAGGGGATACCCTGAACCCTCTTCTTTCAACATCAAATGCATATACATATTCTATTTTAGAAGCTATATGTCAAGTTTGGTGACTCTAGCTCTTATTATTTACCAAAATTGCCCAAAAAACAGGATATCGATATAGATTTTTATCGATTGCTTGGAAACGGAGTAAGTTATCGATTATCGGAAACAAACTCGATCTGCGCGGGAGCTAGGAGCATCTACATCTCAAATTTCAAGTCTCTAGCTCTTATAGGTTCTGAGATCCTTGTGTTCATACATACGGACGGACGGACGGACGGACGGACAGACAGACGGACATGGCTAGATCGACTCGGCTATTGATGCTGATCAAGAATATATATACTTTATGGGGTGGGAGATGCTTCCTTCTGCCTGTTACATACATTTGGATTTTGCACAAATAAAATATACCCTTGTACCCATTTTTAATGGGTTCAGGACGGATAGACGGACAGATGGACAGACAGACGGACATGGCTAGATCGACTCGGCTATTGATGCTTATCAAGAATATATATACTTTACGTTCAGGGTATAAAAAGCATCCATTTTTAATAATGTGAAGAAATTGTTTTGACAACCACTGTCATCGATTTCGCAATTGATGAGATCCCGTTAGAATTCAGTTTTCATATTTTGCCTCTTACATTGCCTCTTCATCTCTTAACATTTTCCGATGAAATTTTGGGCGTGTGCTGAACTTTGTGGACAAACAAAAAAGGCCGGGGAAGAGAACCGTTTTTGATATTGCCCAGTTAGTTTATTATAACCACCAGATCGGTAAAACTGTGATGGAATTATCCGAGATGGACAGAGCAAAAAATGAAAATAGGCTAGATACAAAGGTCTCAAGTGGGTGTCCGCGATAACTATCTGATCGAGACAAGCGGAAAATATTGAGAAAAGCTGGAAAAAATCCCCAAATTTCTATTAGTAATATTTTACGGGATCTTGAGCAAGAGAGTGGTGTCAATGTTTTCCATGAAAAAATAGGAAAGCTTGTGAATTCTAATGCCTGTATATCGCGCGTTGCACATAAGAAGCCCCTGCTTTCAAACATTAATAATGAAAACGCGGTTTTCATTCGCGCAAATGCACCTGGAGAAGCCAGCAGGGTATTGGGATGACGTCATATTCTGTGACGAAACTAAAAAGATGCTTATAATTTTGTCGTGAAATGTGCAACGCATAAAAAGGAGACATCCCCGACCCATTAAGTATAAATAATAATACAGGCAAGTTGATATAGCCATGCCCGTCTGTCTCTTTCTATGCGAACTAGTGTGTCAGTTCTAAAGCTGTTGTCATGAAACTTTGCAAAAGTCCCTCTTTTGTTCCACGCAGAGTCAGAGCCACGCATATGTCAGAGCCGGCTGGATCCGTCTACTATATCAGTTGCCATAGGAATGATCGGTCGAAAAGTAGGTTCTTGTATAAAAACACTTTTTTAATTATCAAGATATTTTGACCAAACTCGGCATTTATTAGTTTTACTATGCTACTCGTATACATGCAAAATCCTATCAACATCGAACGAATATTTTACATAGCTGCCATAGAAACGATCGGTCGAAAATAAAGTTTTTTTATGCAAAACTTTTTGTTTTTCTGGATATCATGACCAAACTCGCTATTTATAGGTTTCACAATGTTCCCTACATTTACGCAAAATCTTATTTACATCGGACTACTATCATATAGCTTTCATAGAACCGATCGGTTTAAAATTAAGTTGTATGAAAAACTTGTTCTTTTTCAAGATATCTCATCCATACTCGGCATTGCCATTTTCCTTGTTATGCTTTAATACGGGCAAAGCACTATGAACATAATGAAAATGTTGGATCTGCAAGGGTATTAAGTCCTCGGTGTGCCGAAGATAGCCCTTCCTTTTCGTTTTTATTTATTTTTGTTTACTTATTAATCAAATATTACTATTACTATTAGTCTACAAAGCGATAGGGACAAGCTAAGCATATAAAACATTAGAATAGAAAAATAAAAACTTACAAGATCGACAACCAATCAAATTTTATTTTAAAAGTTATCAGTGTATCTATATAATATTATGATAAGATAATAAGCAACCCATACCGTCTCCAAATTCAATACATCCATATATTTTGAATTACTAGCAATGAAATGCACTGAAATAATGAAAAATGTAAGGAGTAAATTAATTTCCTTGTCGAGTGCTTATAGTGTCGAGATTGGCAAAAACATCTCAGTTCATCAATTACGTTCAGCTCTAAGAGCAGCTATGGTTATTCCCTTGGAGAGGGCCTCAGCTGCAGGAGGAGATTGGATGCTATTTTTTTTTTTTTTTTGAGGCAAAAAACAAAACATTAGTTGGCGACGATACAGAAAACTCTTAAATTCTTGGAAAAAATAGAGCAAAGCACGTGAAAAAGCGGAAGACAAACATAGTGGCTTCATTTCAAAAAACATACGCCCAACCTTGGCTGAAAGTATTTCACCACATAGCGCGCTGCAATATCAAAAGAGCTCGAGGTGGAGCAATTGCAAGAGATGGCGAAATTATTGGAAAGCCGAGGGCGTATAGCCAGGTTACAATTAGCCATATCCATACCTGAAAAAGAGGTGGCTGATTTGCAAATTGCGGCAAAGCGCCTTGATGTCAGTTACATTGATACTCTAGGTTGCAGCTTTTCTGGCAATTATGGATACTAAATAATTGCTAGCAGGTTCCGCTAAGAAGACCATAGACCATTGACCTAGAAGTGCATTGCGAACTGCTTAAAATATTCGAATAGAAGGTAACAACATGGTATATAGGCAAGCAGTTGGTGGCGCATAAAATCGGGAAAGGCGAAAGCGCATTTTAGTTCTATTTTGCAATCTGCAGCATTGCAGCGCGGGCAGACTTGGCCTCAAGTGAAGGAATCAATGCGCGGCAGCAGCCATGCTGTTTTCCGTTCTTTTTATGAGTTGCGCGACAAGATAAGTTAATACGGGAAGATTCGAAATGAAACCGCTGAGTTACCTAGTCGTAGCAGCGAAATGGCAAAAGGACGAATAATGGCAATAGTGCAGCAAATCAACAGCAATGAACCTGTTAGACACTACGTTACAATTGCCGTGGGCTTGGTATATGATGAGGGAGTGCAGTTAGCAGAACAGGCCAAATGGGGCGTGTGTTAAGTGTCGGAGTTTGGATAATCAGTATGCACGGTGTCCGAAGCGCAATACTATAAAAGCAGAATTAGCAATTTAATTGATACAATTATAAGTTCCGTTTGCTGAAAAAAAAATTAAAAGTGTTTTTAGGTTATTTGATACGGTCCAGTAAGCTTTATTTATAAGACATTAATACCAAAAAGATCAAATTAAAATCTTAAGTCACCATGGATTAGGTGGATGGCCTATCCCAATATGTGGAAAGTTGAAATGCCGGATTGACTTTCTCATGAATGCTTATTTCACTTAAAATTGTAGCTGACAAGTCATTACCTCTACCTATATTAATAAAAAGAGATGCTTTAGAAAGATTTGAAGTAAAATTATCTTAATAAAAAAAATATACCATAAAAAATATATAGATCACCACCCCTTAATTTTATAATGAATTAAACCGTTTATTCGAACAGTTCATCTTTGTTCAGCATTGACTTATAAAATCTTTTGCATAACAATGTAAGGAACTAATTAGAACTCTATATGTATCAAGAATGTGATTTTACAGTGCCCCATAAATATAACATGCCTGTTAAAGTAACGGATATAACATCATTCTACTGCAATTCACGACGCTTGTCTTATTATGAGAGACAAAGAGGCAGAAATTATAAAGGACGTTTTATAATAATTCATTCGCCCTAGTGAATCTCCTTATGCTTCCCTTTTGGTACTTGTGAAAAAGAAGTCAAGAGATCTCTGAATGTGTGTCAATTATCGAGGCTTGAACAATTCAATTATAAAGGATAATTTTTTATTGCTTCTCATTGAGAACTGTTTGAAGTTTTTAGATAATAGGTGTTGTTTTTCCGTTTTAAATTTTAAAAGTGTCTTTCACCAGATTGGAGTTAAGGAAAATTCACCAATTCCGGATACTACTGGAATAACGGAATATTTAGAGGAAAAAGTAATCCTAGAGTACATAAATTTTTATTGCGAAAAAAATCTATATAAATATTTTGTGCTTACAGGAAAGAAATGAGAAAATATATGCCAAGAAAAAAAATACCCATTAAAGTGAAAAGCGGCTACTATGGTAGCCACCTCACGGATCCTTATAATATTTATATTATAAGGATTGTTAATTATATTGTATTAGTCGTAAGAGTGGGTAATTGATGGATATTTTGATGGATATTTTCATCGAGCGCTGAAGGTAGACTCTGCTGCCCTGGATGTGCGCCACGTATTCTCCAAGTGTTTCCACATGTAGAGTGAACGTTTGTCTTGCTAACTAAAGGGTACCGTCGCCGTGGACTGACTAATCTCAATCTCGAGCAGCTCATGAATGAACACGGTACGAAACAGGAAACAGCTTAACGAGTTAAAGAACTGCGTGAGTCCTGGTAGCGTAAAACTATGGAGGACAGTGATGATCGGCGGGCGGACGAAGCCTGCGAGAATTGACACCGGGGTCCCTCGCAGTTTCACGAACAAAGATACCATTTGAACTCCATTCAGCATGTACGACCGTCCAGCGGATGTTAGACACGGTAATGGTGCCCTGATGGAGCCTCATGCGTTCGCCTAGCTAGACGATATTGTGGTGATAGGGGCGAACGACAATAACACGACGAGCATTTGATGGAGATATGCTAAGGGCAGCCAGCCTTAGTCTTTTTTAGGGAGAGGCTGGTCTATCTTGGACCTGTGATAAGCGGGTAGGGAATACGTACCGATTCGGAGAAGGTGGAGGCGCTTCATAACTTTATGGCCCCGACTAATTCTAAGGAGTTGCGGTAGTGTCTCGGGATGGCTTGGTAGTAAAGGAGTTTCGTGCCCAACTTCGCGACTCAGGTACATCCGCTGACAGCGCTTCTAAAGAAGGGACGGAAATGGTCATGGGTTGAGAAACAGGAGGATAGCCCCTGTGTTGGCTTGTATGGACTCTTCTGTAAGATTCGTCTTGCAGACTTAAATATGGTCTCGGTACAGTGCTGACGCAAACGATGCCTGGTGAGCTTGTGGTCTAGTTTGAAAACCACTACTGTCAAGGAAAGCTCAACGTCGTGGCTGATGTGGTGGCCAAGTCTTTCTGAAAATGGGTCGCGAATATGCGTGCCAGGATCGCCGAAGAGCCGGCCAAGCTTATTGACTATATAGACATTTGCGGCAGCAGACGGACGACGAGGATCACATTCCCTGGAAACTGTGTGTGGCTAGTGATCGACGACAAAGGGTGCTGCGAGAATGCCATGATGCTCCCACGGCCGGACACCAAGGCGCAATGTAACCGCCAATCGCCGCTACACCACTAAAAACTTAAAAAATGTAGAAATATTTTCTTCAGTAATTTCGAGTTTTCAATTTTCCTACATATCTGGAAAACCAAAAGCCATATGTTAAGTAATTTGGCTGTCCTGATCCCAGAATCTATGAAAATACATAAGCGTATTTAACTTACTTATATAATTATAGTATATGAAAATAAAAACAAGTACACTAACCATATACATAGCAATTACAACTTACCTGTTAATATTTTCATTTTGATACTACTTATGTACCCATTGAAAACGCGTTAAAAGGATTTATTGTTTTTGTGAAAATGGAAGTAACTGACAAAAGGAAGCATCTCCGACCACACAAAGCAAATAAAAAATTAATAAATATCTGAACTCTTGAAATTTTGAACGTGGGTTCTCCTAGTACCCGCGCAGTACGAATTTGTCTCCGATAATCGATAACTTGATGCTTTCCCAAGCAATTGGTTAAAATCAGGGCTAAGCATGAGGCGAAAGCCATTAGATCATCAAGAGCCGTGCGTGGCTTTGTTTTTGTGGATGTATGTATAGTAGAAAACAAGAATTTAAATAGCAATTCGACAGATTGCAGTGCTATTCTTCATATTATTATTATTTGCTTGTCGATTTTCAATACATTTAATGATTCTTTTAATATTTCAGCTCCTCCCAAAATAAAGAAAATTGAGGATATCGCTTGCTTAGCTGGTGAAACAGTACGCATGGAAATAGATGTTGAAGGATCCCCACAGCCAAGTTTTAGTATAACCAAAAATGGAAAGGATGTATCGGATGAAAGTAATATAAAAATTTCATCTACTTCAATTGGAAAAGGATCAACAAAAGTTTTTATCGAAATTTCTGACGTTAAACTATCTCAATCTGGACATTATTCTATTAAAGCCACAAATGATCTGAGTCAAACTTCAGAGTATTGGAACTGTACAGTTAAATCCAAACCAATATTTGTAAAATGTTTGGAAAGTGAATATATTCACGGCGAAAAAGAAACTGTAAATATGTCAGTGCGAGTAGATGCATTCCCCGAACCAAAACTAACTTGGTATCACGATAATACTGAAATAAAATTGACCGACACAAAATATAAAATGGATTGTGACGGGAATACTTACACTTTAAAAATTACTGGTGCCACTCGAGTCGATGCTGGAAAATATTCCGTTAAGGCAGTAAACGAGCACGGCTCAGCAACTAGCGAAACGCAATTACTTATGAAATGTACTCCAGAACTAACAAAAAAATTACACAATATTACTGTGCAGGAAGGCGAGTCTAATGTTGAACTCGTAGTTGGAATAGATGCCTACCCTCGTCCGCATACAAAATGGTTTATTGATGGTATTGAAATCGACGAAAACCGTAACGATTGTCACCAATCAATTGATGGAAATAATTATAAATTAGTTCTTAATGACGTTTCCGTTAATAGCCAAGGAAACTACTGTTGTAAAATAATGAATGATTATGGAATACTGGAAGACAGCTGTTCTGTGACTGTTAACTGTGAGTACAATAATAAATTAATATACTTAACAAAAACATTTCTCCTACAACAACCAGGTGATTGTTTCGGTGCTTAATGATGCCTTATTATCGCAGTAAATGATTGGTTTTAGGGAAAAAATTCATAAGCTGGACGATGGTCGTTTTTACGTCTGCTATCGTACATGATTGTTGTGGCTGCACCAAAGAATGAATTTTTTAAATTTGACCATGCTCGTCAGGAATTGTTTTCTTTCGGTTGAAAAGATGTCAATGTACAACATTTCACCGGAGTATGATGGGGCTGGAGTCTCTCCGAGAACCTGTTTCTTCGGGTGCCTGTTATATTTCTTTCGCAAGCCTTGTCATTTTTGGAAGGTAGTGTTCCCCCAATATCTATTTGATATTTTTTCTATGTAAATGTTTATGTCGCGTGCACCGTATAGGTACTGCTGAGCCTTCCCTAGTGCCTAGACTATGGCCCCTAACTTTCTTTTATTAGTAGCATTATGGGTTTCACATTCTTTCAATATTCTTGAATTCATACAAATGGACCTTCCCTCTTGCGAAAATACCGCACCAATGCTGTACGCAGAAGCATCCATTGTTAATTTGAGGTTGAAATCTGGGTATCTGAGTATGTCATCTTCTGAAGCTGAGACATTTCTCACCCTCTCAAATGCAAAGAAATAATTAAACCACTGTCAGTGAAGAGATGAAAAATAAAAATAATTATCGCATATAGAAAGAAAACGGTGTTAACAATACATTTTTTAAAATATATTTGTAGTATTCTGTCTTACAAACTATGCTCCAACTCCTAGCTAATCGAAGTCTGTGAATACCGAAAGGTATTCTGAAAACAACAGTCGAATTAAGGGAAGAGAGCGTTCTGCAAAGAACACGATATCCAGACTTTTTACTATAGTCATAAGGGTATATAGTTTCTGGTAAATCTAGAAGAAACACTGAATTGAAAACGATCCAATAGAAGAGAGGAATCTATGTCGCTGACAATCATCTTGTGTAGGAAGATAACCACGGAAGATTAAGAAAAAGTCTGCTGGGTTGCGATAGCAACCAAGTTAGCAGGTGAGGCACTAAACCGCTGGGATTCGTTTTTTTGTCTTGTCTTATAGTGAACAATACTTGATGACGCCTTGGATCATACGTATTTTGTATTCACCTATGCGGCTTTAAAATATATTTGTCAGCTACTTTGCACTTTACAATGCGCTAGTAATTTTGAGTCTTAATATCTTATACCTTGACCCAGTGATAGGGGCTGTTGTTAGTAGCTTTCTCGCAAAAATCAGCAACACAGATACAAATTTCATAAACAATTTTTCACAGCAGCTAGAACTCATTTAAATTGAACTCCATTCCATCCCATCTTCGGGTGCCCCAAGAAATTATATTCCCTCTCACGGTCTCTTCGCCGCTCTAACTCAAGCCTACTTACTCGTCTGCTCCTCCTCTAGTCATTTTAGGAGTCAGAGTTGCCTTTAACTAAACTTAAAATGTAATCGATTTTCTACTTTAATACATGGAATCCTTTTTCCTTGGTATTGCTCTTAAAAATAAGTTTATCTACATTACTTACTTCTTCCACCCTTGGGGCGTGAGCACATCCTCGCGAGGAGCGTTCGCTATTCTTATGGGGCGGGCTCCACCAAGCCCACCAGCTCTTCGAGGCCAGGTTCCCACCTCTCGATATCATCGGTTGGCTCCTCTAGATTCTTTCATTCGGAGCGGACCAGTGGTGATGGCGAGTTGCCCAAGATCATGTCCATGGTCCTAGAGACAAGTGGCGGAGGACGAATTGCTAAAGCTTCGGTTGGGTTGGTTTTTCGCCTCGAGCCAGACGAGTTCTTGGTGGCCCCATGATCGACTTGTGTCCAACAAACATCGACCTCTTACTCCATCTCGTTTGCGGTCGTTTTGTTGAAGTTGTCCATTCCCTGAAGGTGTATTAATAATTACAGTTTATTAGCTTATGTTAACAACCGTTTTATCCATCCTCCCTATAGTACAATATTGCTTGTTAGCTCATGTTCCCTATGGTGCAGCTTACAAAAGGACTCTTCTTACAACTAGCTAGTATGTTAATTATTACAATCCTTATTAAGCTATTTTGCATCTTCGCTGGGGCCTCTTTGGACATCGTCTCGGACAGGCCCGTGATAGTGTTTCGGCTGGGCAAGCACTCGAAATGAGGCGCGAACTTCACAGCCCGGTAGGGATCATGCCACTTTTGCTGCGAATCCATCGGCGGACTTGGAAAGCTGATGTTGGCGTTGCCACACCCACTCTGTGATAGTTGGTCGCCTTACCCTCCGATGTAAATTATTGTACCTCCCCTTGTTCCGGAAGTTGTGACGCAAGTTGTGAAGGAGGGTGTCGAATACTTCCCTCAGACGCCCGGCCTTCTCCTCTGGCGTAATACTCCTTATACTAAGAAGGCAGGGGAGAATCAGGTTGAATCGGCCACGCTCGTGTTCACGGCTACCACTATTTCTGGTAACATTTCGTCCCACGGACATTGGTGCTCTTCTATGAGCTAAGCTATCTTCCTCTTGACCGTCCGGTTCGTCCGTTCGGCTGTATTTTCCCGAGAGATGTACGTTGCTGTGTATTGCACCTCTACGCCGATGAAACTCATGAAAGTCTTGAACGTCCGGCTGATAAACTGCACCTTGCAGTCGCACACGAATGTGCGAGTGACTCCGAATCGAAAGAGTATTCGCTCATGGAACTGCCTCTGTAGGTGTACGTTTCTGTGTATTGCACCTCTACGCCGATGAAACTCATGAAAGTCTTGAACGTCCGGCTGATAAACTGCACCTTGCAGTCGCACACGAATGTGCGAGTGACTCCGAATCGAAAGAGTATTCGCTCATGGAACTGCCTCTGTAGGTGTACGTTTCTGTGTATTGCACCTCTACGCCGATGAAACTCAGGAAAGTCTTGAACGTCCGGCTGATTAACTGCACTTTGCAGTCGCACACGAATGTGCGAGTGACTCCGAATCGAAAGAGTATTCGCTCATGGAACTGCCTCTGTAGGTGTACGTTTCTGTGTATTGCACCTCTACGCCGATGAAACTCAGGAAAGTCTTGAACGTCCGGCTGATTAACTGCACTTTGCAGTCGCACACGAATGTGCGAGGGACTCCGAATCGAAAGAGTATTCGCTCTCGGAACTGCCTCTGTAGGTGTTGTGCCGCTTCCTCAAGGGGAGCAATTCCACCGACTTACTGAACGCGTCGTGGAATACCAAAAACATCGTACTCCCGTGCTTCGACCGTGGTAAGGGGCCTACGAAGTCGGCGCAGTGGAGGGCCCAAAGTTCCCTCAGCTGCGTGTCTACATCGCCCGACCGGTCTCATTAGTTATACCTTTATTTTTTGATACACAACATATTACGTGACGTTCGGCATCCCGGAACATCCCGACCAGTAGTACCTTTGTGCTTTGTGCCTGGTTCCTTGATCACCTTTTCCAGCATGCATTTAGTCCATTGAGAGTTTTCAGTATCCTCGTTTTACATTTAGCGTCGATACTGGGCATGCATCTGAATCCGAATGCGAGCTGAGCTGCCTGTAATCAATGCACACTAGCTATTCCCCTATTTTCTTCTTCACAAGCACGATCGGCACGCTGTACGGGCTTCGGGATGGCTCGATAGCTCCAACCCTAAGCAGTTCCTCCACTTGTTCGTCGATGACTCGTTGCATTAAGGGGTTCCATAAGTAGAACTCCTATTTTATGGGCTCGTCCTTCGACACGATCTTCTGCCCGTGGGACTCAGCTACCCTTTCCGCTCAGCTATCCTTCGCGCTATTTGGTGCCGATCCACACGTGATGCTTGGATCCCCGCCTTCGCTGACTTCTTTCGTCTCCTTTCTTTCCCCCCTTTCTCTCGACGTACCCTGGACACACTATTATTGCCCGACCGCGCCTTCAGAACTCTCTCCTCGGAGAACTTGCCCGTTCCCGAATTATTGATCTCGCCTTCGGGATTATCTCCGCGGGGCAAATTGTTGCGTCTCCTGAATTTTTGTTCTCCCCATTGTGATACGCAACGTATCCTGCTTATTGCATGGAGGAAGTCCATCCCTAGGATCAGCTGGTCTAGCATTGACGGCATTTTCAATAGAGGCAAGCTTACCGTGCGACCAGCAAGTCTGACCTTTGCCTGTTATTCCTACGATATCCAACTCTGATCCGTCCGCTAGCGTATCCTGGTTCGCATTTTCTAGATTGCTTCACTCTTTGCCACTTTAGCCGCTGCTCGTTTCTCTGAGGCGGTCGCCTACAAAATTCTTGGCAAATGCTCATCCAGTGCAGCATTGCACAAAAAAGACGACCTGGGGATTGGGATTATTATTAATTATCCTTTTGCCCCCCTCGGAAACATATTCGAAGCCGTCTGGCCAGTGGCCCCGGTTTTTGGCCGATCATCCTGTTTGCAGCGTCTTCCCGTTCCATCGGCAATGACCTCGGGGCTGTTCCGGTAGTCTCCGCACATACAGTTTAGGTTCAGGGCTGTAGTCAGCATGGTGTATTAATGCCCGCAGGTCTACCACGTCCTTTTTGAACAAGAAGAACAAGCAAGAAGAATTCCAATAATAATGTCTTTACACACGGACCATGACATGTCACTAACATGTCCTAGATAGATTCCACCAAGGACAGCGGATCGGCCTACCCTTCGAATCGCATACCCCACTTCGTAACTCGTTTGGGACCATGAAGTGTCCCCTCATTTCTGTTAGTGGGCGGGTTGATACTATCGGGGAGCCCTCGGCAGAGCGAAATGTTCCCGACCTAACTTTTATAGCCCTTTTCGCGGCCCCGATAGCTCGGGATCGCCAGGACCTCGAGCAGGCCGGGGGTACTTAGATGTGGTCCGGAATGTTACTTGGATATGGATCGACTATCCCATTCGGTGGGTTCGGACTGGGGCTCATCTTCCGAAAGTCACGTATACTTGGCCTCCAGCTCGGCAGCCAAGTTGGT